TTTGAAAGGGGGGGGGGGAAGTAGGGGATATGAGGGGGAGAGGGGAATTTGGGATAAGGGAAGAAGGAGAGGGTGCTAGACAGGGGGGGGGGTGAAAGAGTAGAGAGAGAGGGGGGAGAGGTTGGGGATAAGGAGGAAGGAGAGGGTGAAAGAGTAGAGAGAGGGGGAAAGTTTGGGAATAAGGGTGAAGGAGAGGTTGATAGAGAGGGGGGATAAAAGAGTAGAAAGAGAGAGAGAGGGAAAGGTTGAGGATATGGAGGAGTAGAGGGTAATACAGGAAAAATATGTAGTGAAAGAAACGAGAGGGAATAGGAGAATAATGAGAGAAAGAAAGAGTACGTAAATTGGGAATGGGACAGAAAAGGAAATAGAAGCAGAAGGAAAAGAGAAAGGAAACAGCTGATTTGCAGGAAGAGAAATACAAGGGGGGTTACTGTGAAGTCAAGTACAGAGAGGTCACAGTGAAATGAAATACAGTGAGGTCACAATGAAGTCAAATGCAGAGAGGTCACAGTGAAGTCAAAAACAGAAACGTCACAGTGAAGAGAGGTCACAATAAAGTCAAATACAGAGAGGTCAAAGTGCAGTCAAATACAATGAAGTCAAATACAGTCAGGTCACAATGAGGTCACAATGAACCCAAACACAGAGAGGTCACAGCGAAGTGAAATACAGCGGAGTAACAATGAAAACGAATGCAGTTTGAGGGACGGGTTATGGAAGGGAGACAGAGCCAGTGACGAAGCTCGCGAGAAGGACGGGTTGGAGAGTCCCGGAGGTCGTCTTCAAGATGGTTCTGTGAAGAAGAGAAAGGAAAACATTCTTTTAGAAAGTTATAAACATTTGGCTACGGTTGGAATCCGCTTTGCAGTCATGTTCGTTTGTTTAGATTCACTTATTCATTCACTTATTTATTATTTACCATCAGTTTTTGTTCTTTATTGTATCACTATGTCTTTTGTACGAACATGATTTAAATATTATTTAAGGATTCTTTTAATATACGTTCTGTAACTATTCCTTAACTTTTTTGTTATTTCTTTATTATTATAAATCTACTTTGTATACATAGAACACACACAGACACGCACGCACGCGCACATATGTTGGTGTGTGTGTGTGTGTGCGTGCGTGTGTGTGGTTTAGATAAATGTTTGCTAATATTTACTTTAGGAAAAAGTTTAACTTATTTTAGCATTGGTAAACTCTACGGTCCCGCTCAGCCACATTTCATTATACATTGCACCAAGAGGTCTACATGTATAGGTATAAATTTGTTCTAATTTGATGTGCTTTTGGTTCACATAAGCCTAAAAGTAGAAAAAAAATCAGTAACATTAGAACAAGACTTATCTGTATCATTGGCAATTTTCAGTACAATCAGTTTGGAAAGTGTGGAGTATAAACTCCATTATAACTAATAGAAGAACAATGTAATACAGTTCTAAATGCACCATGCAAACAGTCTTTGAGCTATCATGATGTAAAACTGCATACGTGTTTAATTTTCCTTTGCTAAAAAAAAAAGATTAATTTTTAATATATCCCTATTTTGTAGTGTCTTCTTCATTTACTTTGACAACACCTCATCTTTTCTGCATAATGGTTACAGAAACTAGATGAAATAAAGATCATTTTGCTTAAATGTTGCAAAGAGAAGCGGAGAACCCTTTGTCCTACAGTGTTACATGGATGTTGAAAAATAACAGTAGTGAATTTTGGAAGAACATAGCTTAAGTTACTTGTTGTATATGATTAGTAATCAATTAGTGAAATTAATCACCAATGTGCATAGAAATTAACAATATGTCTACACCCCTGTAATCAGGAGGCATCTTAATACACTAAATAACATATACAATTGTTCTGCTGAGAGGTCTATACAAGCTGAAAGCAGAACAGCTTGCGTCCGAACAGCATACAAAAGCAGAGTTTTGTATCACCGAAAGTTCGTTTCCCTAAGTACGATCATGCAGGTTAGTTGGTAAAGTCAGCATATGACCTATAATTTAAGCACTTTGACTGAGGACTTCATGCCTCTTCCTAGGATTTCACGAATTCTCGAAACTTACAGCAAGGGAAATCTGGTTGTTTGTATACATTCTCAGAACTTTGAAGGTTGAAGTATATGTTCCTAGGAATAGTTTAAATGGACAAAAGTCATCTACCACTAAAAAAAAAGTACGAGTGAATCGCGAGAATTAACGATGACAATGCAGTTAACGAGAATGTAATTAGGTTAAGTGTAAGCAAACAGTGTGGGTTGTAACACTTGTGATAGAGGGCATCAGGTCACTTACCATGGAGTGTGACTCTTTCATTACAACGAATATACTGCATGATATTTTGCCGTTAAAAAAAAAAATAGTAGTCTAATGAACGTTAAAAAAGGATTTATCAGAGTTAGATATATTCCCCATTCCCTGGTCTTTTATCAGTGTTAAATTGAACACAAAAACGAAAGTGGAATGATTAATATTGCTTTGGGCTATCCAGTTTA